TGTGTGTGTGTGTGTGTGTGTGTGAAAGCAGCTTTGATATATATTATTGAGCTCGTAAACAGCATTCACAAGCATTCACAATTATTTTAAATATCAGTTTTCACTCACCTTCTCTTCACCTGCGCCTGAACAGACTGCTGAGTGGATGTTGGAGACTGGAACGAAGTGGTCGACGGTTTCACCGTGGTTGACCCGCTGGCCGTTGATTTCTCCGACCTCTTCCGACGATCTTCGTTCACGTAGTAACGGGAATACGAAGGGACGTCCCATACTTGCGGCATCTCGTATCCCAATTCGTTCATCATCACCTTCCCATAACTGAAACAGAGAAAGAAAGAAAAGAAAAAAAAAAAAGAAACACGTTGTATTGATCGACTCGACTTCGATCGGTGCGAAGTATTTCGATATTTTTATTCGTAAAATCGTAGCTTACTCGTAGCTTCTATCGTACGGAGAGAAAGAATCACGATCATAGACAGCGTTGTTAGGTATGTTAGAATGAGAGGGTTTCTCCTCCTCGGCAAGTGCTGCTTTCAGTCCGCCGAGTCCGGACGAGGCTAACGTTCCTTGGATCAAACACGCCGATCACAAATCAGAATATTTCAAGCTACTTGTTAATGAATAATTAAATTAACTCACTCTTTTCAGCGGTAGACGTGTACGATGTGCTCGGCTTTTTCTCCGGCTGGTGATTCTGTTGGTTGCCGAACATCAACATTTCCTGTGCCCGTTTAGCTAGAACAGAATCGAATTGTGTCATCTCGCGGGCAACGAGAGTTTTCTCGTTCATCACATAGAATAGAAATAGATGATTTCACGCGCCTTACGTTTTGGTCTCATTGTTTGCTCAGTCTTTTTCCCATCGTCTGCCAGATTCGTTGGCAGAGATTGTGCTATCACGAGCAGGGAGCACAATGTTAGTAACCACACCCAGTCGCACATCATCTGGAATGAAATTATAATCGTTTTGCCTGTTGATCCAAGTCTCGATCGACTGATCTAGACGAAATTTCCTAGAAGGATAAGGGTGCAAACGTGCCTTTATTGACTATTGCGCGAGGGTTTCTTGACCTTTCAGTCAAACGTGAAATTGATTAAGGGTGCAGTTTGAAGAAGTATGGTATCGCTATAAAAGTGTTCTCTCCTCGTGTACAGGTCGAAGTTTACACTCCTCGCAAGCGCAGGTAAATGAAGATAGCAGGTCACTACGAAAGAAGCTTAAATGTCACATAATGCGAAATGTCAAGAATCTATTTCCACTGCATGTAAAAAATTAACGGGTATGCATGCCGGAAGTTCCATAGGAAATTGCAAATGTTTCGTACGATTTTTCTAAACATCTGAGAAATCCTCTTTGATGCATCAGTTTAATTTTCTGCAATTTCATAAAAAAAAATACCAAATTTCTCTTCACGATAGTGAAGTAAATTAAATTCGACGATAAACTTGACGACGAACGTCAGCTGCGCCAAGTGGAATTAATTGTGTTATTCGTTTACTGGTTCGTCTCATGGAAAATGAACACCAGATGGAAACT